ATTGCCAAACTACCACCTTCTTGGTCGGACTTTGCCACTTCTCTAAAGCACAAGAGACAAGAGTTCAGTGTTCCTGATCTCATTGGCTCTTTGGGTGTTGAGGAGAAGGCGAGGGCAAAGGACGTCCGGGGCAAAAAGGTTGAGGGAGGTTCTAGTGCCAATATGGTACAGAAGAAGAACCCTCATGCATCCCACAACAACAAGAAAGTCAAGCCTGATGTCAAACCCAAGGCTGCAACCAATTTTAAGAAGAAAGGCAAGGGAAAGACAAAGGGAGACTGCTTTGTGTGTGGCAAGTCTGGGCATTGGGCCAAGGACTGTCCTGAGTGCAAAGACAGGAAGTCTGCCAACATGATCATTAGCGAGGGCGGAGGAACATCGGGGTATGGTAAAATATTACCTACAGTTCTCTCTGTTTTTCATTCACCTGATTGGTGGGTGGATACTGGTGCTAATATTCATGTATGTGCTGACATTTCTCTGTTTTCTTCTTATCAGGTCGGGAGAGGTTCCTCCTTGTTGATGGGAAACGGGTCACTTGCGGCTGTTCATGGTGTTGGTACGGTCGATCTGAAGTTTACTTCGGGAAAGACCGTGCAGCTGAAGAACGTGCAGCATGTCCCTTCAATAAAGAAGAATCTAGTTAGCGGCTCTCTATTGTGTAGAGAAGGTTTTAGACTTGTGTTTGAGTCCAATAAATGTGTCGTATCTAAATATGGGACTTTTGTTGGAAAAGGTTATGACAGTGGAGGCTTGTTCCGCTTTTCTTTGAATGACATGTGTAATAATCATAATGCTGTGAACCATATTAGCGAGAATGATGAGTCTAATGTGTGGCATTCGCGACTCTGTCATGTGAATTTCGGTTGTATGACGCGCTTAGCTAACATGAGTTTAATTCCAAAATTCACTTTGGTCAAAGGTTCCAAGTGCCATACTTGTGTTCAATCGAAACAACCTCGCAAGCCTCACAAGGCATCTGAGGCGAGGAATTTGGCACCTCTAGAACTTGTTCATTCCGATTTGTGCGAAATGAACGGCGTGTTGACTAAAGGGGGAAAGAAATATTTCATGACACTGATAGATGATTGCACTAGATTTTGCTATGTGTATCTATTGAAAACAAAGGATGAGGCATTGCATTACTTTAAAATCTATAAAGCTGAGGTAGAAAACCAACTTGAAAGGAAAATCAAACGGTTGAGGTCTGATAGAGGTGGGGAGTATTTTTCCAATGAGTTTGCATCCTTTTGCGAAGAGTTTGGAATTATTCATGAGATGACGCCTCCCTATTCACCCCAATCAAATGGGGTGGCCGAAAGAAAGAACCGTACTCTAACTGAGATGGTGAATGCCATGTTAGATACTGCGGGGCTTTCCAAGGAATGGTGGGGTGAGGCAGTTTTGACTGCGTGTCATGTCCTGAATAAAATTCCAATGAAGCATAAGGAAGTAACACCATTCGAGGAATGGGAAAGGAAGAAATTAAATCTCTCATACCTACGAACATAGGGCTGTTTGGCCAAGGTAAATGTACCTATAGCCAAAAAGCGGAAACTTGAACCAAAAACTGTTGATTGTGTGTTTCTTGGTTATGCTATCCACAGTGCGGGTTATAGATTCTTAATAGTAAACTCTGGAGTACCCGACATGCATGCTGGTACAATTCTTGAGTCCAGAGATGCTACATTCTTTGAGAATGAATTTCCTATGAAATATACACCTAGCACTTCTAGTAAAGAAACTGTCATGCCCCATGAGCACTTTGCACCGATAGAACACGATGATCAAACGCCTGAGGAAAATCCTGAGGAGGACAACATTGTAGATACTCGCAAGAGTAAGAGACAAAGGGTTGCAAAATCCTTTGGAGATGACTACATTGTATACCTTGTGGATGACACCCCAAGAACCATAGAAGAGACATATTCATCTCCTGACGCTGACTACTGGAAGGAAGCAGTACGTAGTGAAATGGACTCGATTATGTCTAATGGTACTTGGGAAGTCGTTGAGCGTCCATATGGGTGCAAGCCCGTAGGATGCAAATGGGTTTTCAAGAAAAAGCTTAGGCCTGATGGTACAATCGAAAAGTACAAGGCAAGGCTTGTAGCCAAGGGTTATACCCAAAAGGAAGGCGAGGACTTCTTCGACACATACTCACCAGTTGCTCGCTTGACCACGATTCGAGTACTACTTGCTCTGGCAGCCTCTCATGGTCTTCTCGTCCATCAGATGGACGTTAAGACAGCTTTCCTAAACGGAGAGCTGGAGGAGGAGATCTATATGGATCAACCAGACGGGTATGTACTAGAAGGTCAGAAGGGAATGGTGTGTAAACTATTGAAATCCTTGTATGGCCTCAAGCAAGCACCTAAGCAATGGCATGAGAAGTTTGACACCACGCTTACATTTGCAGGCTTTGTTGTGAACGAAGCTGACAAATGTGTATACTATCGCTATGGTGGGGGAGAAGGGGTGATCTTGTGCTTATATGTCGATGACATACTGATCTTTGGGACCAGCCTTAATGTGATTGAGGAGGTCAAAGACTATCTGTCCAAGAGTTTTGAAATGAAGGATTTGGGAGAGGCTGATGTTATTCTTAACATCAAACTACAAAGAGGAGATGAGGGTGGGATTACACTTGTGCAATCCCACTATGTGGACAAGGTTTTGAGTCGCTTTGGATATAGTGACTGCAAGCCAGCTCCTACTCCTTATGATCCCAGCGTGCTATTAAGGAAAAACCGAAGAATAGCAAGGGATCAACTGAGATACTCTCAAATCATTGGTTCATTGATGTACTTGGCTAGCGCAACGAGGCCTGACATCTCATTTGCTGTAAGCAAGCTGAGCCGGTTTGTCTCAAATCCGGGAGATGATCATTGACAGGCTCTGGAAAGAGTAATGCGCTATCTAAAGGGCACTATGAGCTATGGAATTCACTATACCGGGTATCCAAAAGTACTAGAAGGGTATAGTGACTCAAACTGGATATCTGATGCTGATGAGATAAAAGCCACAAGTGGATATGCGTTCACACTTGGAGGTGGCGCTGTTTCCTGGAAGTCTTGCAAGCAGACCATCTTAACGAGGTCAACAATGGAAGCAGAACTTACAGCACTAGATACTGCGACAGTTGAGGCCGAGTGGCTTCGTGAACTCCTGATGGATTTGCCGGTGGTTGAAAAACCAGTGCCAGCTATCCTAATGAACTGCGATAATCAAACAGTGATTATTAAAGTGAACAGTTCAAAGGACAACATGAAGTCATCTAGACACATCAAGAGAAGACTGAAATCTTTCAGAAAGCAGAAAAACTCCGGAGTGATAGCATTGGACTATGTCCAAACGGCTAGAAATCTGGCAGATCAGTTTACCAAGGGGCTACCACGTAATGTGATAGACAGTGCATCGAGGGAAATGGGCTTGATACCCACCTAAGGTTGCATAATAGTGGAAACCTGTCCATTGTGATCGGAGATCCCGTGAATTTGGATGGTGAAACAAACTATTGTGTGACTGAGAGAAGAGACCCTTGAAAAGGGCTCATTTTCATGATGTGCTTCTCTTCTTTCCTGCATGGTAGGATGGCTTATGTCTTAATGTGATCCGAGTGGCTTTTCCAAGCAGAGATGTTGACCTGCAGAACATCTCAGAAGGAACACACCTATATGAGTTCGACTGCTAGTCACAGTCTATAAGGTTTGGGCAATCTCTAGATACTCATGAAAGGCCTGGAGTTTGACTTATATGCTCCAAACAGAGGGGATGCGAACGACAGCCCAGTACCAGTCAAGGTTCTGAGTGAAACCTGATCACACAAAACTTACAATTCAAGGCATAGTCCATTGTTCAGTTGTGGTCTGATGTAGCTCATTTCCTAGGTGGAAGTTCAACTTGACAGTCTCCACCAAAACCCTGGTATATCAAACAGGCACAACATTGGGAACATTTCTTATGAGCCTTGAAATTTGGTGGGGATTGTTAAAATAATTGGGCTAGGCCCAATTTATAATATTAAATCTCAAAGGCCCATAATAAATGTTGAGGATAATAATACCACCTCAGGATTTAAGCGAGAAATATCTCAACCTAAATAGGGAGTTATTAGAGGCTCCCTGTTGACCAGTTGAGGTGGGGGTCGGAATGCCACACGCGCGCGCCGGGCCGGGCCGGGCCGGGGCGAGGGCGAGGCGTGGCGTGGCGTGGCTGGCTGGCGGCTGGCGTGCGTGCGTCACGTCGCTATCCTTTTGCAGCCACTAACCCACGTTCCCACGATTCCCTCCGCAACAGCGCGTCCACGTTCTTTCTCCTGATAGATAAGGAGGCCGCGAGTCCGATCCGACTTCTTCGCTTCTTTCCCGGTGTTAGTTTCTCCTTCTCCGCGCCTGAGTTGCTCTCGCTTCCCCGCTTCTGATCTCTTGCGCGCACGAGAGATTGGAAGGAGTAGTGCCTCCGAAACCACACCTTCGCCTGAGATCTGCACCGGGTAGGCGGGTGATCAGGTTTTTTGGGAGTGCCTCCCGCACGACTGCTCATCGCCATGTCTGGAGTTGCTGCCGCCACTGCTGGCGGAGGTGGTACGCCGCCGCCGACAGGAGCTGGATCTGGATCCGGAGCTGGTGCGCCAGGAGGAGGTGCCGTGAACGACTACAACAACGGAGGCAATTCTGCCTCACCATCCAGCGGAGGGCCATTCTCGGGGTATAATCTTCTCCTCCTGCTACTGCTGTTAGCGCTATTCCTGTTCCCATTGTTAGCGCTATACTATGTGCGCTATGTTCTTGTTCCTGTTCTACATGATGCCTCTAGCATGTTATCGCGTTACTGGTATGTTCCTGTTCCTGACATTCATGATGCGCATAGTATGCTACTGGTTATGTTAAGATCACCCTACACTGCTTATGCCATGATCATTGTTTCATTTTCTTGGATTAAAATATGCCGATTAATGACTATATTTTCAACAGACCACACCACTATCACCGTTGGCCATGGGCGAGGGCAGTACCACCGCTGCGGCTGAGAGGGATGCTGCTGACTCCTCATCTGAGTACAGCTCTCCTCTCCGTCGACCAATGGTTTATTATAACTCCGATGTGGCAGCAGTGGATCTCTACCACAGGCAGTTTTTCAAGTACCAGGAAAAAAAAGGTATAAAAGTGCTCCACTTTTCCCCATACGTTCAATTTTGCTTACTACCTAAAACAACAATTGACTATTTCTCAAAACATCTATAAGCTTGGCCTTAGAGTTACTGTCATCCTGTGAGCTATTTTTCACTGAGTTTCATAAACAGTTATAATGCATGTAATCTTTTGATGACACAATCTTTGTCTATATATATTTAGCTCGTCTAGAACAGTTGCCCACACTCAAGCAGTCCGATTATTATCAAAATATTGCCGATTGGCATAATCTAAATCAGAAGAGAGCAGTTCTGGGTGTAGCAAAATCAGTGCTGAGCCTTTCATCGACTCATGGTATTACCTTTTTTTCTCTCCGGTATACATTCTTAGTTACTTTATCCATATGCACATATCACTAAATTTGCTAAGTTTTTATTGATATACAGATGAGAAAGAAATCTATCGCTGCACGGGTATCATCATCGAGTGGGATGAAGTCAGTAAATCTGCCACTCTTGTCACCTCTTCACAAATCCTATGCAATGAGGAGTCACAGGATAACAGTATCTACTATCCCAACACCAAGGTAAATTTGTGAACAACATTACTTCTTGGACGTTTGCTCAGTATTCTTCTGTTGAGCTTAGGTTTTGCTTCTTAGTGTTTCCTTGATACTGTAATTTCGCCTTACTTTGTGGTGCTCTATTTTCTCTCAGCCTTTGTACTTTGGTTATTGATGATACGAATAGTATACCTGTGGCGAGTAATGATTTTTGGTGAATTTTTTTATACATTTCTGTTGCATTTATTATGGTTATTGGTTGAAGTTAAGAATGCTTAGAAATTTCATAGAAAATGCAGCTTCCTAATAGATACAAACTTTACCTAAGCAGTTCAGTGAAATGAATTAGTGCCCCTCCCACATCCACATACACACAAGGTCACACATACAAAATCTAATATGTAGCGATCTTTCAAATAAAAAAAACTGTGAATACATAATGCTAATTTGATACCCCGTCAAGACAAACTAACAATCTACACCCACTATTTCTATGTATTAAAACATAATATACAAAGTCTTTGAATGCACGCAGCTACTGCCAGGTCTTGCCCATCTTAGGCCCCGTTCGATCTCCCGTGTTGGAGATGGATTTCTGTTGCACGCAAAATGAGAAACCTTATTAGCACATGATTAATTAAGTATTACTACCTCCGTTTCAGGTTATAAGACTTTCTAGCATTGTCCACATTCATATGGATGTTAATGAATCTAGGCACACATATGTCTAGATTCATTAACATATATATGAATGTGAGTAATGCTAGAAAGTCTTATAATATGAAACGGAGGAAGTAACTATTATAAATTTGAAAAATGGATTTATTTGCTTTTTTAAACAACTATTATGTAGAATCTTTTTTAAAAAAACGCATCATTTAACAGTTTGAAAAGCGGTGCTAACGGAAAACGAGGTATGTAGCTCCATGGCCTCACAGTTGGCTGCACTACAAATCTTTCCAATTAACCTTTCTCAGTTGCTGAGCAAATTATCACAATGGCACATTCTGACTATCTTTGAAGTTCTTTTCAGCATAACTACTGGATATTTTGCATGGCTAGCAGTATGCACAAACAGTTTGCACTCACTCTTGAACACACTAAGCCCTAAGCTTTTTTTCACGGCTAACATGGTTGCCCACGAAGGCGAACAATCTGCCTTCTCATGATCTTGAGCACATTATGCGCTAAACATTTTTACATGGCTAACTTGGTTACCAGTGAAGATTTCCAATCCAAGTGTAGTCTTGTAGCGTACTCATTGACTGCCCAATATAGTTGTTCAGCTCATGCATTCACCAAATGTTTCACAAATATTAATCCCTGGCATCCCTGGCTAGGAATTTACTAATTTTTCACAGAAGTCTTTTGGATGTTTTTACCTATAGTTGTTGATTGCAGGATTTTATTTCTTGTTTTTTCTGTTTGTTTTCACCATTGTTCTCAAGACTCATAATTTGTTCTACTTTTGTATTCTCATGTAATCATCTTTTGTGAATGTCATTTACTTCAAATCACAATATTTTCTTTTCAGATGATTGCTCACCTATTGGATGGGACTACTTCTGAGATGGAATTGCTCTACTTTAGCAAACACTATGAGATTGTCTTTTTTAAGGTCAATGGGGCATTGGATCTACAAGTCGCGTTGTTAGATACTGAGTTGGAATTTGGCAGTGAAGCTTGTGTGCTAGCCAGGGACAAAAATCTTGATTTGATCTGTAGACGAACAACAATAGTGGCAATGGACCCTTGTGAACACCAAAAGAACCATTATTTATTCATTGATGCTTCGGACTGTGAGGTGATAATATAAGCAATTATCTGATTCCTTTATTATTATTTAGATAAGATTGTTTAGTATAACTTCATTGCTAATTTTATTCAGGACTGCAATGGAGGAGCACTGACAAATTTTAATAGGAATATTGTGAGTATGGTATTATATGCTTTACCCAATGTTGCTTTTATTCCAAGCTCTCTTATTCTGAAGTGCTTCGCATTATGGAAAAAGTTCAGGTATTTTGATTCTTGACTGTTTCTAAAGTTTTTGAATTCTTATAAATGATTAGGAGTAAGTAGAGAGTAGTCTTCAAAACTTATTTGCTCAATTCTTGCATATATATTTATCTCTACAAAAAAAAGAGACAAAGTTGCATTTAGAGCAAATCGTAGCCTAATTGTTATTTATTTATTTATTGCTTGCTCGTGTCTGATTTATTTGATAGTGTTTTGATATGAAAATTGTAACAAATGTGAAATATTTTTATTTTTTTATTTTCATCTATGATTCTTAATTTAACTAATTCCATTTGTTCGAATCTAATAAATTGATGATAATTTGGTGTAGGAAACTTGGTCGACCTCATTTGGGTTTGAAGCTGACTGTGAATTTTCTGGATATATCACATTTAGAGAATCTGTCTCGTGTTTATGGTATTAGTTCTGGCCTGATTGTAGCAAAGGTATACCCCTTTCTCCAAGTTTTCTAATGATAAGCTCTGCAAACTGTAGGCATGTTATGCTTTTTTTTTCTATATTTAGCAAACTACATTTCTATCTTACACACACTACTACACTTTTAATTGTTCGGATCATTTCTGATGAGCTGGACCAACCAATAGCTCTCACCAGCCCAGCCTTTTTTCATTTGACTATCAGTAGGCTTGTGACTTGTGACTTTGTGAGTCCAACAAGTGGGACCAATCTTTTGAAATAATCACAATAGTCCAAGTGTAGCAATATGAAATAGATGCTTGAAAAGGTGGATTTACGATAATTTAATCAAATCTAGTGTGATTTTCTGAAGCTAACTTTTTTAGCACAGATACAGACTGTTCCTATGTTTTTAACTTGATTCTAGGTATCCAATGGTTCTCCTGCTGAGAGAAATGGAATTAGAATGGGCGATGTCATATTTCATTGTCAGCAAGAGTCCATTTCAACCACAGCTCAGGTAAAAATACGTTGTCCTTATAAATGCAAGACTTGTGGGAATTTATTTTAAGTGACTTGAGCTATTTCTTTTTAGTTTGAAGATGTTCTGCTAGATGTATGTGAGAAGCACTTTGAGAAGGGAATCAACTTGAACTCCAAAGTAGATGTTGAGGTAAGCTTTTATTGAAATTAGCACATTGCTTTGTGGTTTTTTAGTACAACTTATTTTTTTTGGCACATATACTATCTTATAGTATAAATTTCTCATAAAAAAAACTGCAGTTTTTTAGTGCATTTCACGAAATTAAAACTTGACAAAAGTAATGTTCTAAAAAAATATACAACCGGGTGAGACTGGCAGGTGATTCTGCACTTTCAACTACAGAATCAGCAGAGGTTTGCATATTCGATGGATATTTTCTAATAGTTTTAGTTTTGGATGTTTTTAGATCAAAAGGGAAAAACCTGTGTTCCATTTTTTAATGGAAATGAAACAATTTTCTTCAGTTTACCATTCTTACATTCTTAGCACACTAGAACATTGTTTAATCGCGACTGACACGAGCAGAAACTAAAATGAGAACAAGTTAGATCCTGCAACATATAGTTCTAGTACAGAATAAACGAGAGAGGAAAGGACCAAGACATCATACTTATAATCTATTACCTGCCGTGAAATCTTATCCCTATCTAAATGGTACCTTTGATCGAAGAAGCCAAGAGATAAGATTCAGGTCTTGCAGGTTTGGGCACTTCTTTTCTTTTCATACCGTACCCCAATTGGAAAGGCGATACTTGTGATGACCTTAATGATTGCCCAAAAATGCCATGCCATGTGTCCGTTGATAGCTTTGATAGCCCATTTTGGAAACTTAATGACTGAAAAGGGATGGATGGGGATACATATCTACTTAAGTAAAAGGAGACTTTAAGAAGCAGTTTTTCTCCATGATATTTTTCAGTCTTATTCAAGAAGTTATCAGCTAGAGACATATTTAATCAAGGTTCAACTGCAATTGGTATCATATCTTTTGTTATCATATACCAGTCCCTCAGGCCCATGCAGCATTTTAATTGTTTGCTTCTTTTTCCTCTGAGAAGAGCAGCATTATGGTCTCTCACTAGGATATCTTTCTCTCTAGATCTCTATCTATCCTTCATCTTTCCGGACTCCCGAATTGAAGAAATTCCTGGGTGATTTCTTTCATTCTATATTATCATCGACAGATAAAACGTCTCTCAGATTGTCTACCCAAAACATTATATTCATTAACCATTTTTTTTCTGTTTAGCATCGACACTCACGTTCCAACCCTTGAGAGTTTTTTTTTCATAAAGTCTAATTTTAAACTGCACCCTATTAATTACTTTTGTTTCAGAATGCAGAGTATTCCAAATCTGTTTGACTAAGCCATGGGAATCTTTCTTTTCACCATTTTTGAAAATGAATTTTTCAGGCCTGATATCAATTGGTTATGTTTCAATGAAGAGCGTAAATATTGCCCCAATTGTAGGTAAAACAACTACAGTAGATAAAGGAAATTGCGTATCCTAAGAAGTAGATAAATAAATTCTATCCATAGCAGCCAAGACCAAAGTACATTGGTTGTTTTCACTAATGTACTGTCTTGCAGCATTTTCGAATTTGAGTTGAATAGTTCAAATATTAATCAATGAAACTCTTTTGGTTTCAGATAAACCCAAAAAGTCAGGATTACATTTCTGTTGACAAATATACTTTTTGCCTTTACAGCTCGTTGTTTATAACTTACGCAAGCGTTCCAGGAGAACCGTCAGTTTGTCCGTAGAGTTATCAGATGGCATGGAGGTCATTGACTAAGGTAACAAAATTTTGCCTTGTTGCCCCTAGATCATGTTTGGTCACAACATTTTGTTGTTTCTTACAAATTATGCGGTCATGTTTCCTAATATTTTGCAGGGTTATGGGACGACTAGGACTGCAAATTGCTGTGAGGAAATTGTTATTTTGTAGTAGGAACATCATGCAGAAAATTTTGGAGTTTGGGCTCAAAAGCTTCTTACGATTGACGGTCTGCAAGAAAAAAAATGTAAATAGGATTTATGAGCTCGTTTCGTACTGCCAGTTCTAGTCTTTTATCGTAATAGACTGATCTCAACAAACAGCGGAAGGAAGTGGTGTCAGCGCAAGATGCTTTTGTATATAGGTAGCAGTGCAATTTGTGAGAAATCGCCTCTTACGTTGGTGCCATTTAGTCAAGTGAATTGCTATATATACGTCGGAGTATATTATGAGTACCTTGGGTTACACAGCAGTACTACACCCATATACGCGATCAGGTATTATTACTGTTGAGAGTATTTCTTTCTCTATTCACTTAAAAAAATATATTTTTGTAGTATTCGCTCCGAATTTATCTGAAATGAGAGATATGATATGGGTTTACATGAGGATAGTATGGTGTAGGGGTGAAAAGGGGGTTATACCCGGACTATACCCGCCTGTTTTCACCCCTAGTGTGGTGCGGACGTGGATGAGGATATGGTATATCTAGAATCCGGCAGATGCGAATTATTCGGTAGGTTATTTGCTGGATAATCTGAAATTGTCAACACATGTAACCACTTTATATGTTGCATACAACGTGAGTTGGCCCATCAAATGGCCTAATTCATCGATTAACTTGGATTGCTTAGACTACGTCTCTCACCGTCTCATCACACACTTGCGTAGCTATGTTTTTATATAGAGAGAATCCACTCAGTGCCACTGAGTTTTGCCCACTTCTACAATATACCCCTGACTTTGTCAAGTTGAACAATATGCCATTGGGTTTTCTTTAACCTTCACTGCGTGCCATCACAGCACAGTTAGCATCTGTTAGCGATGTAAAAAGACCTATTTGCCCCTAACTCATTATATCTGTTAGCCATCTTTATTCCCATTTTCAAAGAAATTCATCGCGTATGCATTTTCATATATACATCGGTGCTCATATATTAAACCTAATCTGAGTAGCAGTGCTTCCAAAAACGAATGGATTCGCAGAAACTAGTATCGGTAAAAATGTAAATACACGCCTCTACCACCTGCTAATCTCAACTCAATGGATGGATTCACAGAAATGGAGATGGATCAATGCCTCTACAAAGCTCGATCAGACCTTGAGCTTGAAGCTGTAGTTGTTGGAGCGGATTTGGATCCGCCTGCCGGCGACGAGGTTGTCGACGACGAGGTTGCAGGTCGCCTTCCCGGTCATCTTCCACAGCTTGATGGCGCCGAACTTGATGCGGATCGGCACGCGCGCCCACACCGTGAGCGGCACGAACCCGGTCTATTGCTGTTGCAGCAGCTGCGCCGCCATGGCGCTGTCCAGCCGCGTCTCGCCAGCGACGGCGACGGCGAGGACGAGCACAGCGAGCAGCGTCCAGCACACGCACCGGCAGCACCGCCGCCCGCGGCCCCTGCGCCGACGCCCACCGGGTGGATTCGGTGGTAGTCCATTGAGATGGAGACGCTGCTTGCCGGGCGGCTGGCGGCGCGTCGATGGGACCTCGGCGACCGGCCGCGCGTCGATGGGGAGGCCGGCGAGCCACCGCGCGTCGAGGGGGAGCCGAGCTCCAGGACGCGCGTCGTGGGGGAGCCAGGCGGCCGGCCTCGCATCGTCGGGGAGCAAGGCGGCCGACCGCGCGTCGTCGGGGAGCCGGCCGGCCGGCGGTGCGTCGAGGAGTCAGGCGGCTGGCGTTCCATCGATGGGGAGTCGGCGCCGCTCACTAGAGAAACAACAATAGATCGATTTGGGGGTGGATGGTGTGTTACGGTTTTCAGTCAACAAGTACAATGATATTTTAGTCAAAGGGTATTTTAGTCATTTAGAGACAATTCAATGCGGTAAACGGAGGCCAACTAACGGCTCGTGGACGGCGATGGCACGCAGTGGAAGTTAAAGAAAACCTGATGACATACTGTTCAACTTGACAAAGTCAGGGGTATATTGTTGAAGTGGGCAAAACTCAGTGGCACTGAGTGGATTCTCTCTTTTATATAATTGGCATAATGTATTCATGCTATTTAGCACTTCAGTATATAGTTATTATGATTGATCATCATTGATTATTGTGTTGTTGTCTATTATATTGCTAAGCTGATGTTGCATTGATTGCATATACACGTAACGACCGATAATTTTAATCTGTTTCTAAATCAGGTCCGCACCATTTTCAACATCCAAAACAATCTGCTCGATATCAGTATCCACACACTAACCGCATCCGCTTAAAAAAATGGTTTGACCACTATTCGTCTGAATCCAATCTGTTTTCACCCCTACTTCTTGTAGCCCCACCGAATGAGTTGATCGTCGGGCTTAGGAGGACGAGGGCAATAGTCACTGTCAGGTTGGGCCCACACCTGTCCTCCCGCATAGGGCCCACCTGCTTCACATCACTCCCCCTGATTCCCCGCCGCAAAATCCAATCCCAAATTCCCAAATCCAAGCCACCACCACCACAACGAGCCCAGCTTAGAGCATACCCTATCTCTCTCTCTCTCGCTCGGGCGCGCGTGAGCGCAATGAGGACTTTGGGGTCAAAAGGAATTGATGCCATCAGAGACATGGGGGGAGTCGGCGGCGTGGCGGTGGTGGCAGGGAAGGAGAAGGGGACAGCCAAATATACTATAAGTTCCAAAGTGCGAGTAAAATTGTTTGTATAAGGGCAATCCCAACCTAGAAACCATCTAGTGGTTTCCATACTTATCACACCATATGGACACTATATATAGAAACTATATACCTAATGAATGTTTTATTCAAAATAAATTCTCATCCAATCATCTCTTTTTCTTGGTTCTCATGTAAAACTAGTTTCTTGCATGAGAAATATTTTTTTTCATCTTTTTTCCTCTTTTCTCATTAACTCTTTCGCCACCTAACTTTTCACTTATGTGAAGGATTGGGATTGCCCTAATGATGAAGAGAGAAAAAATGTTTGCTCAATGGTCAAGTGAGAATTTGTGAGTTGTAAGATACTCCCTCCATCCCAAAATATAAGTATTTTTTTACTTCAACACAATTTTCGAGATGATATTTTGATCAATGATATCTTATAAAGTTAAGATGCTTTAAATCAAAAGACTTGAATATTATGATAGTTTGTTTAATGATTAATCTAGTAACATCAATTGTGCACTTTTTTTATTTTTTGACTATTAATAGTCAAAGTTAAAAAATGCTTGACTTAGTATTATTCTAAGATTGCTTAAAATTTTAGGACGGAGAGAGTACTAAGATAGTGATGGTACGAATCCACTTACAATTATTGTTTCTAAAGTAACGATTGAAGAATGATTGGGAAGAAGGTGGGGCTGTCAGCTGGTTTGATCTGCGGTAAAGGTAAAAAAAGAAAAAAAAAACTCCCCTACAGGTATCTGTACTTCTTTTAAAACAAGGCAATGGTGGTGCCAGTAAATCTGCCACCTCACCAACTCGATTGTGTAGAGCATTATTTACCTATTACTCCATGGTTGTACCTACTCTTCTTTCATGTGCTTTAATATTACAAAATAGTCCTACATATGACTCTTATCTTATTTCATTTCTAAAACACAAGTTTATTATGCAAAGACACATATAAGGACGAATTTGTCCCAAACATCACAACTAATTTGTTCCAAGCAATATTAGTACACATCTAATTTATTTTATCATAGCAAAGCACGGTGTCGGTGAAATGGGAACCAGGGTACCCATTTATCCAACAAAAGGATCATTATCAAATAAGTAGCATGCTCAAAATATCTTTAAAAATAGAAAGGTAATCCTAGGGTGACGTAGCTAGGGGCCTACTCTAGAGGGTCCTAGGTGGGAGATTTCATATATGGGATCCTCCCTGGCTGAGGAGGAATATTGTATACATGACTCAAAGCTCTGAGCATAAGAATAGCTTGGGAGCTGGCTTGGGTCCCAAGCACACCCTAAATATGTCATAAGAATATGGCCTAAGGTCTGCCTCGGACCTGGCCCTGTCCTGGATCCCGAGCTCACCTTGGCCCTTGTAGGTTCTACGGTCCTCAGCAAGAGGGGCGTAGAAACCTGCAAGACCTATATCTTAAGAGAACGAGCTAAGATCCACTTTGGGCCTGGCCTAGTCTTGGGCCCCCGGGCTCACCTTAGCCAGCGCAAGTCGTGCTACTCGATAAAGAGGAGTGTCGAGACATACCAAATATAAAGGTGTAAACTGAGGTTTGCCTCTAGCCTAGCCTTGTTTCGGGTCACAGTTTCACCTTGGTCCTTGTATAACTCACGTCCCTCTGCCTAGAGGGGCACTGAAACGTACAAGACACGTAATCTTGGAATAATTTTTCATCAACGACATCTTCGAGAAGCTCATCTGAGAATAACCAAACTACTTCTTTAAACGCGGGAGGGCGCGACCTCAGAACTTGCCGGGAAGATGGGCGTGCTCCACAGCCAGCTGTGAGGCAGCATGCCCCGCCATAAATGAAACAGGTTTATGGGGAATCCCCAGCCAGTCTGGAGTTGAAAGGACGTGGACAAGACACCAGCGCTAAGTCACTTAGGACGGTGGCGCCTGGGACACACGTCGCACATGCCCCGCGCCACCTAATTTAGCCAAACGGGCAGAGAAGCAACCGTGATGCTGTTTTTGGCAGGTCAGGCCTTGTCAGGCCCACCACGCACCACATGGTGAGCACACTGGCGGAGGCCCAACTTGTCTCAGACGGAGTCCGACAGCCCGGGGTAATATGATTTTCAAGACTCGAAGGGTTTCTTGAAGACTGTGTTTGGGAACCAGCCGGCAACGACAAGACGACTGATAAGACAAGACTAAGAGTAGATTTGAAATAATGTGAGCCCCTCCTTGGACTATAAAAGGAAGGGGACCAGATATGGGTGAAGGGTTGGACTATTTTAGATCAGTACTCTCGCTTTGTAGCCTGAAAAGGCCTCCTTTGTACTTATCTGATCTAGAGAAGACAACAAACACCGATACAGGACTAGGGTATTACACCTCTGGGTGATGTGAACCTGTATAAACTCCTGTCTCCCTCTCTTCGCGCGAGGGGGCGGGCACGAACCCTTATGATCACAGATACTCCGTACCTCTCACCGTCAATCCCCCTGGTCAGATCTTCACTCTCGGGAGGGGTCTCCACTCCCCGCTGTCCGAGGGACCACCCCCTCGACACACGAGTATTTAACTAGTTGGGAAGAAAGACTCTGGAATTTTCCCTAAATAAGGGGTCAACATTAGAACTTTGTCTGGATTTGCTGATGGCTTGAAATTTCTGCGAAAAGAGCCCCATTAGTTGCTTAATAAGCCAAAACCAAAGCTAAAATTTAAATTTTCAAACTTAAAAATTGTTTTTTAAGATATTTTCAATATAGCTTCTTTGTCAATATTGGTTTTTAAGTCGATAAAAACATATACATATATGGGAACACTACAAAAGGTTAGCTCCACGACCTTGAACCTCACTAATAGAGGCAGTTAAACTAGATTGGGTCAAGCCTGTTGTGCACGACAGCAATGCCTCGCCACGCCACATGCTATGTGCATCTATGAGGCTTCTGGCCAACACCAAATCTAGCAAAAGGAGCCAGATCCAGCCAAGCATCCTCGCCAACAGTATGGAAGATGACGATGCGCGATGGATCCACTGCCATCTGGTGGAAAGAGGGGCAAACAGCCTTCCACCGGAGCGGGCAACCACAACTACACCTCCGTTGTAGCTCCGCATGACACCTTCGGCTAAGATGATTGAAAGCAAGGAAAAAGAAAAAAAGAAAAAAAAAGGAGAAGGAAAGGGCATAGCATCCTTCACCTTCGCATGACACCTTCACATAATGTTGTGGGCAGAGCAAGATGATATCTCTAAATATAGCATAATGTGAAGGTGAAGGAGAGAAATTAGAAGAGAGAGGGTGAGCGATCTCTCGTGCAAGCAGCAACCTCTACATCATCTCCAATAAAAATGCAAGATGGTGTAAGATTGAACTAATAAAAAAATATTAAAGTTTGTGTATTAAAGATGATATGCTATACTTATCTCCTAATTAATAAATAGATCATATGGCTCAAATTAGAGATAGCATCCATATGCACTATAAAACTTTCTCTTATAGAGGACTCGAGGGAGGTAGCAACAGGGGCAAGTGCGTCCATCTCCACCGCCACCAACAACGTTGGGGTTGATGCCTTGATGGGAGACGACTCAAGGGTTGTGGCAAGATCTAACTCCCGAGCTGCCGGATGCGTTCTTTTCTTTCATTTCCTAACTTCTACTCCTTGTTTGTCACGCGCAAGCTTGCCGAACTGCTAAACGGTGTTTTTTTTAAAAAAAAGTTATATATTAAAGTTTATTTGAAAAAATATATTAATTTATTTTCAAGTTTTTTAAGCTAATACTTAATTAATCATGTGTTAATTGATCGATCCGTTTTACATGCCAAGAAAGGGTTCAGACACAACCTTAGGATGCATATTAGTGGACATACTAATTAAGTATTAACTATCTTAAACTTTGAGAATTGATTTATTAAATAGAAAAATTTTGTATTAAACGCATCATTTAGCACTTGATGTCCATGATCCCTTCCCATGCTGCTAAGCCACGCTTCTACAGTTGCTAAGCCCCCTGCCACCTGTGTAGCAGTCAGCCGCCTGTTGGGTAATCAACGGCAAGCAAGAGCACGAAACACTATTTGCCACCCCTATCTCTATGACATGTGGGTCTAGTGGCAAATAGTTAATTGCCACCTAAAAATGGCAAAAAGTTAAATATCTCGCCAGAAGCCCAGAAGAAGGGGAGCAGCAGATAGAACGCGCTTCAGGCAATTCCGTTTTGTGGCAGTGAAGACGACGACTGTACCTTCCCCACGGTGGCAACTGGAGCGAACTTGAAGGAGTAGGAGAGTTTTGGCCCAAGACGATTATGCTTGGAAACGCATCGCGACACGGTCATATTCATTCGAAACAATGAGAGATGGCAAATCGGGGAGGTCATTAGGGACATCCATCCATGGCGGTGGCCAGTCCAACTCAGCAAGATAGAAAATGATGACATGTGGGGTTACCTTCAATAGAGTGAGTATATCATTTACTGTAACAAACAGAGCAGAGGCCTCAACATATATATCACATATGAATATGAGAGGCAAATTGGCATCTCTTTCCAACTCAACTAGAAATTACATTTTAATGGCCCCATGTCCACTAGCAAAATACCACGGAATATCTTTTAGCAAGGCCACATTTTTGCGATGTTTATCAAATGATGCCACGCTTTGCGAGCATTCAGCAATAAATTTTGCATATAAAAAATATTGAGATGTTTAATGTCACATTATCAAAATTTGGACTATTGGAGATCCACTATGTTAGCCAAATTCTACCAATCATCTTGAAGAAGATAGTTGTCTCAATTCACAGCTGCACAAACACACAAACTCCACCAATCATCTTGAAGAAGATACCTAGTTGTCCCAATTCACAGCTGCACAAACACACAAATTCCATCAATCATCATGAAGAAGATGCATAGTTGTCCCAATTCATAGTTGCACAAACACACAAACTCCACCAATCATCACGAAGAAGATACCTAGTTGCACCGACTCACAACTGCACCAACACACAAACTCCACCAATCATCACAAAAAAGGTACTTTTCCTACTCCCACCAGTGACAAATTCAAAGCTGCACAAACACAAAACAAGTCAGAAAGGCCCTTAGAAGATTGTAAATGCTGCTACAAAGTTGTCATATATATATATACCTGGTGAGCTCCCAGGCAAAATTCATAGATATCTGCAGCAGATACTGCATATCCCAAAGACTCAATACGGCCATGGTATAAACCAATGACTGCTGCTTGGTGACTCAGCACTGGAGCACCAGAACAACCTGCTCCTCCAACTACATTCAGCTCAACTAGATGCATGCTGTATCCTTTCCACAAATACTGGGTCAGCTGCCCATATACTCTGTCTCTTGCAACCAATTGGCCAGTGATTACTGAGTCTTTTCTGCAAGGTGGCCAAGACACTAACATGATATCATCAGCAGGACGGGGCTTAACAGTAGCAAGACTGAGAACTGGGTGTGGCATTTGACATAACTGCATGGTATGATTCCCATATAAATACCTCTTGCTCACTTTCAACAGCATCAAATCTTTACTTTGATCCAATTTAACGATTCTTGCAGGCGAATAGAATCTTGGGTCATTACTTGGATCCGCGTAAAGGTTTGGGTGGTTAGCAATCATGTCAGACTCATAGTGTTGGCATATGATCAAAATGTTAAACCAAGAATTTAATTTGTCACAGTCAACTTTGATCTCAGCTGAATAGAAATATTCAAATAGATGGGCACATGTTAGAATGTAGTAGAAGTTCTCAACCTCAACAGCTGTAAATCCTGTGGCCACAGTAACTGCTTGAAACCATTTGTCGACAGCTTTACTTCTGATACCACAATTATTCACCAAATGTTCCTTTATCTGAACCTTATAATCTGTTGATGCGACTTGCACCTTGATGAAAAACAAAGAATCTGCCCTTTTAGTTCCCACATACCGCTGAGGTATGTTCGAGAACATGTTTGGCCGTATGTTTTCCATCTGAATAAGACAACACAAAACGTTGTTATACACTAATAACAAAAATAAAGAAAGCTACTATTCCCTTCGTCCTAAAATAACTTCGTTTTTCACCCATCCCACACATATCAATACAAAAGCAAAAAACTGCAATGCCCTCCACTTCATCAAATCCCAATGCAATTGTCTTCCACTTTGTTTAGTCACAATGCATTTGTTCCTCACTATGACAAACTCCAATACAATGATTGCTTGAAAGATTAACTTATTTTGGGACAAACAAGAGGAGGCAAAGATGATATTATTTTGGGATGGAGGAGCTAGTACATTCTAATTCAATAACAAAAATAGAGTAGCTACTACATGACCTTAACTGAATAACAAGCTCATGGACTGAATATACATCTAGGCTCAGTAGGACAGCAAATCTTGATGTTTCAGACAGTCATACAGTAACATAGATATGCGATTGAGTCACTACAGCAACCACATTATCATTTTTCTCCGGACGGTGCAAAAACAAAACTAGCCTCACCAGTGTAAAGTTGTAACTCAAAATACCCATGAATAGTAAATAACTGTGAAAAAAAAAAGAGTACTGCTACTAATAAGGAGTGCAGATATATACATATAGTCTCAAAAGGTATTGTGGCTGATGCATCACTCCTTAGTTGGACTTGATGAGACTGGCCTACCAAACTTTGAACTGTCTTGTCCTCTTGTGCCCATGTGAGGACACAAGGCAGGCAGTTTCTTGTTCCAAAAACTCTGCTCACATTATGGCATGATGCTCAACACTGTGCCAAAAACCAGGTGTTCGATGACATTGACACAGGATTTGTAGGCTACTACCAACTACGAAGTTCGGGTGATATCCAAACCGAGAAGTTTTGGTTATTTTGTAGTTAGTATGTTTGTCGGTGGACTGCATGTGAATTGTGAACTACTCCTACAGTATAAACATTAGCATTATTTTGCAGTTAGTATGGGCACAGCACATGGACGGTTATCAGAAATTTATGGGCAATGAACACCAACAAACCAGCTACAATGGCAGGGAAGCCCATAGAGAAATTGGGTTGGTTGGGCCCAATGTGGCAGGATGCAAATCACTATTTAAAGGGAATAGCATTAAGCCATCGTTGAAAAGAATGAACTGAAAAGCTACTGCCTGTCTACCTCTTCTTCCTCCTCCAGCTTCGTCCACTCGGCTCTCCCCTGTTCTTCAATATCAGCTATTCCCCTCTTCTCCAACCTAGTGCTGATTTCATGTCTTTGATTCTATTTCCCTACTTGCATACCCAAATAATCCTGTTTGTATCAAGTGTCAGAAACAGTGTGGTGTGTTTTGAGTTTGAATCATTGATTCATATGGAGTGGGGGAACGTAACAGTTAGCCTACACAAAGCCTAACAATCCTGGTGCCTAACAAGTGCTCGACGGAATGCCCCCACCGTCCCCATACCAATCCACAACCCCCGATAACAAGCATCTTTCTCAATGCGCCCTAGACTATGCTAAAAACAAATGCCATGAAAAATGAAACTGCCTAGTTTCAACAGGCCGGCGCGACACGAAGACGAGGCGCGGCGCCCGGCGAGACTAGCGCGCACGCCGTGGCACACGTACGCAAACGGGCCAAGCACAGACGGGAGACCGTGAGGTTTCACCAACAAATCGCGGAGGCAGGCAGCGCGGCGTGCGAAGAGCTCCGGCATGAGGAGAGAAATCCGTGCGCGCGCGCCGTCGAACAGAGACCACCGCACAACGCCACAATCCAAGCAAAATCAACCAGCAAGCTAGGGGACTCACCTTGGTCCTCCTGCCGGTTGAGCGGGGCGAGCGCCGAGTTGCGGAGGCGGTGGCGGCGGCGGAGGCGGAGGCGGAGGCGATGGCGGTGGCGGTGGTGGATGGGAGGCGCCGAGGCGGAGCAAAAAAGCAGCCGGGGAGAAGCGCCGAAGCGGATTTCTCGGAGAAGGTGGCCGCGGGAGAGTAGAGGAGAGGGCCCCGCTTCCCTCTGGTGGGCCGCGGTTTTTGCGCTGCTTAGGCCCAAATGTGGCCCAAAGAGGGATGTTGGTCCCTGTGATAGAACTTTTTTTTGCAAGGGACCTCTTTATATTATTAAAAAATATACTTCCTCCGTATCAGTTTATAAAACTTTTTAGTATTATCCATATTTATATAGATATTAATGAATCTATACATATATGTGATCAGTTTATAAAACTTTTTAGTATTATCCACATTTATATAGATATTAATGAATCTATACATATATGTGAGCAATGCTAGACTCACATATTTATTTACCATGATTTATCATCTGTCATGCACGTTAAGTTACTGTTTTTATTAACCGTCATTCACATTTAAACAAATCAATACTACTGCTGGATGCACATTTATTAGCTATCCTTCCTAACTGCACCAGCTTGCTCAGTGCGTCTTAAATAAACTAAACAGTGTAACAAATAGCTAAACTAAGGATAACTCGATTTACGTTACATCTCACTGAAGCTTCTTATCCGTCGGATCTTGTAACTGAACCGAGCGAAACATCTGGGCCGTTGAGCAGAGCGGCAGCAATTGTAACTCTGATAAGAGCTCACTTTTAAAAATATTGTACTTATCAGCATATGTACTCCCTTTGGGAAAAAAAGAAGACATTTGACATTTTCTTCGCCTTCTTAACCGTTCAGTTTTGACCATAATTTTACATTAGAACAAGGTTACAAAATCTCATAAGCTTGTGATATTACAATGCTCCCTCTAATTATAAATATTTAATGTTCAGATTAAGATGCCGTCAAACTTTTATATTAACTTCGGTCGCAAATAACTTCTCAAATACTTGCTTTAAAAAATGAAAATGGTATGCGCCAATTTTTCTTCAAAATAACTATCACAATACCTTGCTTCCTTTTATGCAGGTTTCTGGCGTCGTAGATTTACACGGTGGGACTAATCAAAACTGTTTCCTTCCTTTTGCGCGTAGTATATGGGCTTCAAACGAAGGCCCGGCCCACCGACGTCAGGGGACATGCAGCGTGCATGCGCATCAACGGCAGAGAAGATGTCGGTGACTCTGAAGAAAGGCTCTTGAAAGAAAAATTTTCCCTGAACAAGTGACCCCCATCTCAACTTTGTCTGGATTTCCTTGAAATTTATGTGAAAAGTTAGTATTTCCAGCAGGATTGTTTTGCGAGAGAACCACCAGTATCTTCAGCTGTCTCAAATTCCCAACAAGGTATATGGTCTGAAACTGAAAGCCTGTGATTGGTGAAGTGCAGTGATATCATCTGAGGCTGCCAATCCAGGGGTTAGTGATGTAGGGAAACATACTACTACCTCCGTCCCAAAATATAACAATTTTTAGCTATGAATCTAAACATATAGTTGTCTAGATTTATAGCTAAAAATGTTTATATTTTGGGACGGAGGGAGTAGGTTCTTATGCATCAAGCAGTGAACCTTCGAGATGGTGTCATGCTGTAATGAGCTCTTCAAGTTTTACCTCGAGTCATCATGGTTAATCCATGGATTGTTGGCTTTCTAGTTGAATTAGTCCGGACCGATGAGATATGGTTAAATATTTGTTTGAAGCACATGTGGTTAAATCAATCTCAAGCAACCCAGTCGCCCTAAACACAGAGAGGTTGAAATATGGAGCACCTGGATTTATACGCTATGTGAAAGTGGGATATAAAGTTTTTAATTGGAATTTGTCGAGAATTCTAAGTTTCTCTGTGCTCATTCAGGGTCGATTTGATTTGCAATGTACAAATCCTACGAAGTTTATTGTTTCCTAAAGAAAAAAAATACCCGAATTTTGTTTTCAAGTGCATAGATACAAACTCTAGCAAGTGATCGAATGTACACTGATACTCAACACACCTAGCTCGCCGGCGACACGCCAGCGACCGGAGCCGCCGCTGGCTCATCATCCTCCGCCGCCCCCACCGCCGCCCTGCACACCGGGCACGTCGAGCTCACGGCGAGCCACGTGTCGATGCACTCGGCGTGGAACACGTGGCGGCACGCCGGGAGCAGCCTCCCCAGCTCGCCGTCCTCCATCTCCCCGAGGCACACCGCGCACTGCACGGCGGCGTCCGCCGCCGCCGTCGCCGGAGAAGAAGACCCCCACGTGAACACCGGCAGCGCGCCCAGCTGCTTGGCGTCCAGGCCGCCGCCCTCCAGCGCGCACGCCGCGACGCTGATCACCTCGAGCTCGTAGTTGCCGCCCGGGGTCACCGGGCGGCGCAGCGCGTGAGGGTTGCCGGCGGCGCCGGCGCCGGCGCCGGCGACGCGCCGCCGCAGGAGACACCGGGCGTAGAGGTGGAGCGCGGCGACGAACGCGATGGCCGCCGAGAGCGCGGTGACCGCGGCCAGGAGGACATTGGCGTCGTAGGCAACAGGAGAAGAAGCAGACATGACGGCTCAAGTCAAGTGGAAATGATGCAAATGTGCAATCAATCATGCAATCATGATGGCACAATCTAGTGATCACCAAGCCATGGATAGATGGACCATATATGCATTTGAAGGCAATAGCAATGCATTACACTAGTATAGTAGTAGAAGCATACAAGCTTACAAAGTACTACCTCCATATTTTAATAATATATGATGCCATTGACTTTTCGTTTAACGTTTGACCATTCATCTTATTTAAAAAAATTACGTAATTATTATTTATTTTATTATGACTTGATTCATCATCAAATGTTTTTTAAGCATGACATAAAATTTTTTATATTTTCACATAAATTTTAAATAAAACAAATGGTCAAACGTTAATAAAAAGTCAACCGCGTCATACATAATTTACAAAATGGTACTAGTGTTTGTTAGATAGAAGGGGTGTTGAGACAGGGACAAATGAGCAGCAGCAGCCATGGAGGCCGCATGGAATCAAGGAAGTTTTTGGCATACTATTCAGCATCGTGCCATGATGTGAGCAGAGTTTCTGGAGCAAGAAACTGCTTGCCTTGTGTCCTCACATGGCACAGGAGGACAGGACAGTTCAAAGTTTGGTAGGTCAGTCTCATCAAGTCCAACTAAGCAGTGATGGATCAGCCACAACTTCTGTTACCTTTTGACAGTATGGGTGTGTTTAGTCGGGGAAAAGAAAATTTTTGGATGTCACATCGAACGTTTGACCGGATGTCGGAAGGGGTTTTCGGACACGAATGAAAAAATTAATTTCAGAACTCGCCTGGAAACCGCGAGAAGAATCTTTTGAGACTAATTAAGCCGTCATTAGCACATGTGGATTACTGTAGCACTTATGGCTAATCACGGACTAATTAGGCTTAAAAGATTCGTCTCGCGATTTTCTCCATAACTGTACAATTAGTTTTTTTTATCTATATTTAATGCTTCATGCATGTGTCCAAAGATTCGATGTGATGTTTTTAGAAAAAAAATTTAGGGAGGGCCCTATATGTATATATCTGCACTCTTTATTGGTAGCAGTATGCCTTTTATTTTACAGTTTTTTTTTTTTAACTACTGATTGGGTGAATGCTTCTTTTTACAGTGATTCATGGGTATAGTGGGTTACAGTTTTACACCGGAGGTGCTAGTTTTTGTTTTTGCACCGTCGGGAGAAAAATGACAATGTGGTAGCTGTAGACCTGTAGTGACTCGATCGTATATCTGTGTTACTGTATGACTATCTGAAAACAGCAAAGACTTGCTGTCCTACTGAGCCTAGATGTATGTATATTCAGTCCATGAGCTTGTACCTCTTCTCCTCAACACCTGTGACTCCCATTTGTATCTCAATTATGGTGTGGAGAGGCATCTACATGAAGATTAAAGGGTATTAGTTTGGTCTATGTATTTCTTAGGTTTCTAGCACAATAATGAACAAGAGAAGATCATATGTGTGACCTCAATATCTGGGACTTCCCTCAGAGGCCTGTCAGCGAAATATGCATATAGCGCCCGCAATACAGCCTACAAACAGGATAAATGGTTTACGATCAATGGCTCTGCAGAAGGAAAAATCATGAAGTTTAGAGATTTACCTGGTGGGAAATAACGACTACTGGTGCTCGCTGGCGTTCTAGCTCAATGATAACAGGTTCCAGTCTGAGGATTTTACCAAATCACAAGTTAGTGAAGACTGAAGACGTACTGGTAGAATTGATTATTTCCATTGCATTGTGCAGTCTAAAGAACTGTGAAAAGTTTTTTCTGAATAATATTAGAAGAAATGATTAAACCTCTGAATCACATCAAGGTAAGATTCTCCACGGGGGTATCGATATCTTAATTTGTCCTTCTTGCGTGATCTGGTTGCAACAAGTATTGGAAAAGCATCATAAGTGTTTCATATGCAAGCATTCAATAAATACAAGTGGACCAGCCAGTGATAAGTGCAAGACTTACACATTAGACTGCGACTTGTATGGTTATACCTTACTACCATCTTTTGCAACTCAAATTGTGTTTTTTTTAATAAAAAAAACCATGATAGTTAAAAGTGCAATGTAAGATACAAATTGACAATCAGCAGTCTAGCAGATGGGCACATCATGTAAACTACTAAAGAAAGAACTCCCAAACAAATGTAAACAAAGATAACAATAGCACATACTCAAATTCCTCGGGCATAACTTTCTTTATCTCTTCATACGTCATCCCATCACACACCCCAGAGTTTATCTCATCAAGAGCACGCCATTGTATCTGCAAACAACAATTGTTAAGCAACGCCCATATAAATAACTACCTTGCAAGAGTTATGTAAGAAATACTCCAAAACTTTCCTGATTACCTTTGGGAATCCAACTATTGGACTTGCTGTCAAAATTGTCCTCTGAAGCGTGCTGGTCCATATCTAAACATCAGAATAATTAAAAATGAGAGACTCTCACTCTATTAGCTCATCTCCTTTACAGTCTTCATCTCCAAATGCTATACTGACATAAGAAGTTGCCTCTAGAAACAATGCAATTCAATCAAGAGATTACGTACAGATGCAGTTTTCTCAGATTTGAGCCTCTTTTCTATGAAGTTGGCTAATTTCTTCGAGTAAAGCTCTCCATCTTCACTGTGCACCATTAATTATAAATTTATTAGTTCAATACATCAAATAAATGGCTCTGCATTTTCAGAGTACACTTTCCGTAAATATGAAAACTTGCTGAATATTACTCATAGCATTTTATAACTTCCATAACTCAAAATGAGATATCAGAGTAGAAATATATAATCTGAAGGTGTGCCACATTGGAAGGTAGTAAAGGAAAAAAAAAGTAAAAGCAAACCTCAGGACCGTGTCACCACCAACTCTTCCTCTGACATTGTGTAAACTCTCACCATGCCTTGTAAGCAAAATAGGTCGAGGTGTAAGATGAGAGTTCACCTGCAGTTAAATGTTGAGAAATGTGTCACATCAATGCACTAGTAATTAAAAGCTCTTTATCATTGACCCATTATCAAAATTATAGTTTCTCATAGAACTGCATTCTGCTATTTATTTCTTGTATTTTCTGATTATTGAATTTGAAGTACATACCAAGAAAAAGACAATCCTTCCAGGGAGATAACCACTGATATTGTTGACCTGGATAAAAGGTCAGGACAAATTAATAGCTTGACAATAATGAATAATTAATCAAAATAAAGCTAAAATGCATGACTTGTTTCAGAAGCTAAAAACATATGATAATAAAAGCCAAACAGTGTTATGTAATGAATTGATCCGAATACACTAAGAGCTATGACCCTTGGTGAAATTGTGTCCTTCAGAAGTATTTTTCAGTATTTTTAAAGGTACATGAAATAGAATTGCTACCAATACCATACATCATTGAGTGGAGGACCCAAAAATATCTCATTGGGAGTGCCCACACGTCTCAAGAATAAAAAAACAAAATCATACACACAAACAAAAATAAGGTTTAAATTTGATCAACTCAATTTAATCTAAGCCTACAAATCACAAAAAACGTCACTTCAATCCTTGTCCCCTATTGATTCTTTTTTGCAATTAATATTTAGTCTCTCCAATGCATACATACTTGATGGTAAAATTTTTTGGGGCTGCCAGTGCCCAACTGGTACACCCTTATCCGCCCATGCATCATTCCATAGTCATGTCACATTCTCAACCTTTCTAATGTAGCCTGTTTACTGCAAAACATGGAAAGGGATAACATAATAGAATTTACCTGTAACTGGCCTCCCTGCCCTTTTACCATATCAATCATTTTAATGTAAGAACCTTCCTGCACTGGCTCATACACCTACAAAAGGAAAACCGTTTTAATCAATACTAAAGGACTCATGGAGGTCAGAATTACTTGGTATACATCGGCTCAATACAATATAACTAGACGAAACCTTTTCATAGTTTGCCAGGCGTTCCTTGAAGTCCCGCACTCCAGTTTCATAATCTGGCCTGAAAAGTTTCCACAGGATTCAGGTCACAAATTCACTTATATTAGCAAAGGGAAAATTTCGGGAGATCCTCACTGGTCAGCATAGTCAGGACTTTGCTGTATCTTCAGACGTACATTCCTTTCAATTATATTCGGATCGTTACAGATAGTTTCCAGAAATATAATCTGTAGAAGATGAAAGCAACAAAAGTTTAAAGGCACAAATAGAACATTACTTAAAATAACTGACAAACTATCAACAGTGTGACAGTATTATCGTTCACTTCCATCCACGACACACAGATTGGCCTGAGATAGTTAATGAAGCAAAGGTAAACGAACCATGTCTGATGCAAAATCGGAATGGAACAAATTACCTTACAGTTCCCTTCAGCCATTTTCATTAGCATATACCTTCGTTTTCTTGTGCTGTTTGTCGCATCAAATATACCGACCTAGACACAACTGGGCCCGGTCAAAACGAACATTACATTTGAAGCAGGCTATGCAACAGAAACCAGCTTACCTGTCCTCCCCCATGCATCCAATCTATCATGTCCTCCATAGCTAAAGCAGCCACCTGGAAAAAACGTAAATGTTGAAATTTGCTAGTAAGACTAAATATATATAAATTTAATGTTAATACTTGCTTCATGACGTTTGGTTCTCATCCAATCAAATTTGACCTCTGAAAATTAATATCAACTTTGTGGTGCTTTCATGAGAATAGTATAGGTTTACTTCTCCTTGGGAAAAAAGATAATTCAAATGAAATGCCTTAGCATGACCTTAAGGTGGAGGAGGAGCAATGGCAAAATGCAACTATATCACAGAAGGAGGCAGCAAACAGATTATACAAATACAAAACAAGATTTAAAATTACAAATATGATGTGTTCTAAATCTAAATAAAAGTTTTCACAGAAACTGTAATTGTTGTACTCCCTTTATCTTTAAATAAATGATGTTGTAGACAGTCATCAGGATTAATTTGTAGTTCAAAATTACCATGCTAGCCCTAATAGTTTATCTTATTACCATGTTATATATTATTCTCAAAATGTAGAGCAATAACAACGTACATTTTTGAACTACAATATCTGGGATGAAATCGAAACTTTGAATTGAAGGAATATGATAGAGTTGCAAAAATACTGTACAGAAAGCATGCTAACCTCATTGCGTGCCTCAATCCCTTCAGGGTTATCATCACGGAAAAAATCTGCAGACTGAACCAATTAACCCAAAAAAGAACTGTTAGATTATTCTACCACCAGAAATGTGTGTAACTGCACTGAGAACTCCAAGGAAATATATACAAACTAGAAGTACCAGGAATCTGCAATAGGACTAGAAGCAGACCCGAGTATCCCATGCATAAAATAACCATTGTAAAAGAAACAAGTAAAAGATAATGAATCTGCATTATTTGACATTCTGGCCCAGTTGGCACATAAATTGTTGCTGAGCAGATTGATTGATAGCTCTATGGTGGAGTATCTACCCTATTTAGGCACAGTGCTACAGGAGTGTTGAAATTACATTTTCCATGTGAATACTTGGCATGTGTCTCATGAATCAGAACATAAGATAATATCATTCTTAATACACCAAAATAAAATAGCGATGTAACAAATGAAATATAAAAATGGAGTAACTTCAAATAAAATTGGATTACAAAACTTGAAATGAAAATTTCTGACATGGTAGCATTTAACAAGAAGAAATACTTCAAAGAAAATCAGTGTGTGCAAAGAGAATTGCAGCAAATTAGTTATTAGTACCTGATTTGCTCCATGCTTCAGGCGGCGGTACTGCACACCGAGTTTCAACCAAAAGAGAGTTATGTTCACTTGCCAAACAATCCAACATACGCCATTGTGGCAAAACAATTAATCAGGAAAAGAATATAATCACCTTTCCAACATTGAAATGTCTGGTTTCATGACCTAACCAACGAAGGTACCTTGTAAGCTTAGCTGCGGTAAAAGTTTTACCACGAGCTGGTAGGCCAACCTGTTTGCAAGTAGACATGTTTAGGAAGAAAATCTGCTTTTCAAAATAAGCAGTGATACAAATGAATCTTAAGATGCAATAACAAATAATTATTATACTATGATAGTTGGAGATTAGCTTTTTAGCTCCCAGATAACTCAGTGTATTTTCATTTATTTTTATTCATTTATGTGTTTAAAACCATATAGACATGATAGAAAGGTCTGCTGGTAGATAGCAACAGCCAACAAGCAAAGTTGGCTTCTCCTGATGTCTGGTGATTAAATACTGAAAGTCGTATAAGAGAGGAAATGACAGCAGTAATTTACCAAAACAATAGCTAGTTTTCGGTCCTCCTTTGACCCATGCAATCGGTCAGCTACAGCTGCAGCTGCAACAGCTCCTGCTGCTTCTGGCATGGCCTGCTAATACATCAATTAAGAAGAAAGAATCAAGTACAAACTTAATTCCGATGGAAAATTTCTTTTAACAATAGAAAATTGATGAATGGATAGATGGACCATAATATATATTATATAGATCCACACACAACATTTCATTTAAGCACTTGAACTCTCTACTCGACATTGCTCATTAAATCAGGGAGTTATTTAGGGTTTAGGATCATAGACAACTTTCTTGCTTTTTTTTTTTATTATCGCAGCTCAACTGGTTAAGGACAGGAACAGTACTGACCTTTCCTGTTCCAAAATTAAGACCAGAAGCCAGGGAACATGCACTTGATGATTTTCCAAACTTAGTAGAGCCAACACCCCTGTCTACAAAAAGTCCCTTTTGTCCATCTTGCTTTTGCAGTGTTGTTAAGGTGTCAACTGATTTTGACTCTACAATTCCAGAAACTTGTAACTTCTTGAAAGAATCTGATGGCAAGGCCACATTATCCTACAAAGAACCAAATTGGCACATCATGGTTATATTCAGTACTGCTTCTGTTTAACCAAAAAATTACAATTGAGTCAACCAAAATAAAGTTATCATATGAAATGGCATTCAATTAAGATAGGGGGGGTCGATTTATAACCAGAAAATTAACTAAGTGACGAAACACAAATGCAAAATCAATAAAAAAATGATGGTTATTGATAGGTGACATATCACATCAAAATATGATTTAAAATAAAAACACAACACACTTCATTTTCTGGGGGGGAATACATAATAATTCATTGGTGGGACAAATATTCTAGCATACCGATTCGACCTGGTTAGTGCTTACCTTGTTACAGTTATTGTGATCTTCAAAATCTGCAGTGGCGCTACTTGGACTCTGGATGCCATCACTGAGAAGCATGTCATTTGTCCATAAAGCTCCAGTTTGAATCAATGATGCTGGGTTTGCGGCAAGGTTTGCTGCATATTCAGATGTTGCTGCAGATGGTGTTGGAATAACGTAATGCTCCAAGTCAAGCTCCAAACTTTCAGTAGATGTATCCTACAGTAAGATATGAAAAAAAAAACCTGTTAGAAACCAGAACATTGATTAGACTAGCTATCATCATTAAAGTGCAAAACATCATGCAAGCATTGGAAGCTTTGTGGAAAAGTTGAAGAAATGGAAAGGGCATTTCGTTTTGTTTAGAAATTTTATTAAGCGTGTACAATGATAAATGTTGCACCAGATGGTTCCAGGGAAAATGAAGAAAATGGAAGAGCAAATATCCCACCAGCGAAAAAAAAAGTTTCATTGGTATATTCTGTAATAACATATACGATGGGATCTCTTCCATCTGAATACTGAATTGTTTAAGTTTCCCCTAAACATGCCTTTTTAACAAGCATATCTCGGCTTTCAGAACAAGGCCACTTATGCCCTCGAGAGATAACTTTCAAAGGAAGCAGATGTTTTAAACAGATAATTCAGTGCTTGGCCTTTTCTGTCAATTTGTTTGGCTATAGATAAACATAGGATATCAGTAAATAAGTATTGGAGTAGAAAGGTTAAATAGTAATAGTTTGCAATCAAATCGGACCATCATATATTGATATGAAAGCACAAGAAGACCAATTTCAAATGCAAATAGAAATTGAACTACTGTTATCACCTCGGTCCCATGCGCAGGTGCGACATTTATACTGACATCAGGGATTCCCCGGACTTTGGAAGGCTGAAAATTCTCCTTGAACACCCTCCAACTCGCTGCAAGATCAAGTGGGGACACAATGTCTGCCTTATTGAAAACCCTGAACTCAAGCGTCTCATGATCCCCATTCATCTTGAACCATGCAATCCTCACATCGCCCTCGAGCATGCCTCCAGTGAGATGCCGGGTCGGACCTTCCTCAATGATGCACGGGGTGTCTGCATCCTTGGGCTTGAGCAAGAATTTGAAGTCGAGTGTTTCTATGGTAGATTCCACAAGTTGCAATGGTTAGGAAATAGCATGAGCATAGTAATTTGCATCAGAATTTTAAGTAAGTTAAATCTAACTGCCCCTCTTGTAACTGAGTCAAGAAACTCTATGCCTAACAAACAAACTAACGAAATTTCATAATTCTACTCAGAAAAATATAAACGCAAAAATCCTACATGTTTTACTTGATATTACAGTCAGGAAGACAGCCTGAAGGTACAGCAACCCAGCAAGGATTACTAGACAGTCTAACTATAAATAGAGTCCATCAAACAAGCTCACAAAACCCGCTTCTATAAAAAAAAAGCGCAAAAAACAAAGAAAAAGAACACCAATAACAAGTAAAAACTGCCAAGAACAAAAGGACAGGACCTTTTGCGTTGAAAAAAAAAAGATGGGACAGACTATAAATAGAGTCACTAATAACCAATTGCATTCTTAACACACCCCAAATACGAACACAAAAACAGCAAAAGCATCATGCAAGCGGCACATCCCAATGATCTCATCATATCAAACAGCACATGTGAACTGCAGAGACCGTACGTACCGTGGTCAGGCGGCACGACGAAGCTGAGCGCCCACATGGACGCCAGCTCCCTCTCCATCGCGAGCTGCAGGGGGGGGCGCGAATTCGAAGCAAAACAGTAATTTTAAGCAAGTGAGCGGCATTCATCATCATCAAGCAAATGAACGGAATGGAGGAGCATCATCGTGGTGGCGTACGTACGGCGCGGGCGGGGTCCCAGGATCCGATGATGGGCTCGGAGCCGTAGACGTGCGGGACGAGGTCGCCGGTGATCCGCGCGTTCTCCATCTTGAGCGACACGTACAGCTGCGCCCCGCCGTGCCACGACCGGGACGCCGCGCCGCCCACCCCGCCGCCGCCGTCGCCCGCTTCCCCTCCCCCCAACCCCGCCGCCCCGCCGCCGACTCCCCCGACGCCGTCGATCCCCTTCGACCCCGACGTCCCCATTGCCTCCGCTCTCTGGAGTCGTGAGCTCTGAGCTCTGAGCTTGCTAGTGTGGTGGTGGTGGCTGGGAATTTGGAATATTTGGGGGATTGGATTGGGCGGCGGGGAATCGGGGAGAGCGATGGGAGTGGTGGTGGTGGCGCGCTTCGATCGAGGCTTCGGAGCTCGGAGGGAAGCGGGTGGGGCCCACGCGGGGGAGGGTGGATAGGCGTGGGGCCCACACGGCAGCGACTGATCCGTTCTTGTGGCGGGCTCGTGTGGCGGCGACGGCGGCGACGCGGCGGGTGGGGTAGCCGGGGGTGTCGTCCGGAGGGGGGAAGCGGGTGGGCCCCACCCGGGAGGATAGACGTGGGCCCCCACACGATAGGGGCGACTGTTCCCTTCCCCCCTCGGCGGCGGGGGCGACAGGTAACAGGTTGGAGAGAGTTTTCCTAGGCACGTAAAACGAGAAAAGCTTATTAATTAATAATTATAATTTGATAAATAAATTTATTTGAATTTTTAAATAACTTGTATATAAATTTTTTTAAAAAAATCATTTAACAGTATGAAAATTGTGTTAACGAAAAAAGAAGTTAAAGTTTAGAGTTAAAAAGAAAAACTAAGCCTAATATTGCTAGTACGTCAACATTGAATTTGCGTTTAAGAAGCAGATTTAAATTTGGCAAATTCTGGTTTGAAGTAAATAGGCTTCTTTTTGGACGAGAAGGAACGTATTAGATCGTTGACACAACAAAAAAAAAGACAGAAAGAAAATAAAGGTCGCTACTCGCTGCTTGGTTTATACGCTTCATTACTTGTCGAAAATCGAGGATTTTGACACAATTTTCAATATACAAGTAGGCTAATTTGCTTGTTGACTTATAATTTTAAATTTAAAACATAATTTAGTTTTAGGGTTCATTTTAAGATTTTCTCATCATAACTTTTTATCATTAAATTATTTTATTGCTTTATTCTTTTTTCTGTAAACGATGAGAGGCGGAAAAAAAAACTTGTCTTATGAGGCTAGTGGTGCCACTTGAATCAGATGCATGTGTCAATATGTCGAATCGCAAGGGCATCTTCCGCATGGAGCAATTTGTAGCACCAGTTATCCCTTAAACCTGCAAAATATTAAAAAGGATAAAGTATATAGTTGATCCTTAAAATACATCATATTTATCTGGATATGATCGTCGATGTGATTGTTCATCGTGACTACACATTTGCATTAAGCCCTATTCCGTCCCCCACAAAAGTGGACAGAAAAAGACCAAACCGACCAAGCTCGAGAAATTCGATCACTAGTTTAGTATCAGGTGTTGAAAGAACAAATGTTGTTCGGTCAATTGGTTAGCACCTTGGGTTAACCGAATAGACTCAAAAAACTGAATTTTTGCATAATAGGTCAATTGAGATCTAGTAGCGCAATTAAACCGAATTTTGATCCAATTTTAGCTTCCAACATGCTTCAATTTGTGACCCATGACAGTGAAGAGAGCCAATTTATGATTTTTGTGTATGAATTTTTTACTTACATTTCCAGGGATCTAGCTAGCAAGGTACTTTTGAAACACCAGGGAATATTAGATAATGATAATGATAATAATAATAATAATAATAATAATAGTAAATTTATAAGTAAGAAAATTACTGTCCTAGTAGGGAAATGTAAGAATTGAAGAGAAAGAATTACACTTTACTGTTTTCATCTTTTATTATTTTTCAGTAAGACGAATGGTTAAATTTTATGATTAAAGTTAATTGTGTTAAATATTTATTGATCGGAGGGAGTAATAATTTTAGGGGATAGCATCAGCCATAAGGAGAGGGGTAGAAAGACTTATTTGCCTTCTTGGGATGAACGAGATCTGTTTGGACTATAGTCACCATTGAATAGTATAGGTAGTTTAGTGATAAAAATTATCTTTTGCATAACTTATGTTTGGAACAAAATTTGAACACTACATTTTGGAACAGAGGGGATACACCATTTTATCTTAAAAACAATATTAAAATCATACTCCATCCATTTCATATTATAAGTCGCTTTGATTTTTTACTAAAATATAGTAGCATTTCCAATACAAAACAGACATACGATCAAAATATATTCAAACTAGATTTAATGAAACTAATCTAATGTTTAGATGTTGCTAATTTTTTCTATAAATTTGGTCAAACTTAACGAAGTTTGATTAGGAAAAATGTCAAAATGACTTATAATATGAAATGGAAGTAGTACAAATTAGATAGCCAAATAAAACTATCACACATCATCTTTAAGGCATGGTGTTTTTTCAAGGCTAACAAGTAGCACAGGAGTAGCGTCGCTGCATAGTCCTAAAAAAAATAAAAAGGAAGATAATACTCATCCTCTCCGATCCATCTCCCTCCTTGTCTCCGACGGCTCTCCAGCGGTGAAGGGAGGGAGAGGGGTTGGACCCCTCTTCTCCGCTAGTAGGTGTGGGTCAGTCAGGGTTCTCCTATTTCTTGGGCTAGTCCCAATCTTTTTCTTCATTTTCTATGAAGAGCAAGAGTTCCGCTGGCGAATGGTGCTCTTGTCCACACTGCTCTAGCCATGGAGGACCTCGATGACGTCTTCTCCGACATGTGTCTCCAGTTTGGTGTTTGTGTGGATCGTTTCCGTCGTCTACAATTGAGAGGGATGCAAGTTTTCTCTTCAACTCAAATAGGTTGCATCGGCCGTTCATTGCTTCTCCGGCTCACTTCAGCGTTGACCTTCGTACTCATCGGCATCAAAGCCGTGCAGCTGAAAGCTTCATTAATGCCTTTGGTTGCCTCAACCTCCACCTCATGGAGGCCCCATTTGGGTTTGTGCATCCAAGGCTTCATCTCTTGCAGTTTACCATAATTTCTTCGAGCTCACCGTCGTCACTCTCGCAGATCTGGGCGTCATTGTTGTGGAGCTGGTGTAGTGAAGGATCCAATTGCTTTTCATATCTTTAAAAGTTATTGTTTGCAAAGTTGTTGCTCAAGGTGTAATTTTCCCACCATATAGGGGCCTCAATATAAAACTTGCTGACCTTTCACGTAGTATTATCTGAGGCTATAAACAAACAAACAAATTCAGCTTGGAAGCTAGTGTTTTTTCTCTAATAAATAATTCAGCTTGGAATGCACGAATTTCACATGGAACATTTCATTTCCTGTTATGATATTTTTTTAAGTTTCAAATTGATATGCCTATAAATAACATAGAAACTCTGACAACAGCAAAATGCACCGAACAAAACTACTGTGCCAAATCGATGAGGATTCTCAAAGTTATTGCTGGTGCGATACGAGGATTCTCTACGGGAAAATATGCAATGCAAATCACATATGAATTGAAAATCTAGAAACTACTATTAAATTAAAAAATAGATGTCTGAGATTGATTCACATCTCCATAAAATTTTTACTCATGAGTAAATCTACGAGTAAAAAATGATAACAGGTGTGAATTTCATACATCCATTTTTCGATCCGCCGTATATTACCTGTCACTAACGACTATTGTACCAGCAATATTGAGGATCAACGTGCGTGTGCACGACCGCCGTCGAGTAACGCGACTCCATCATCAGCCTCTGCCTCTTGCTCCTGCCGCCGCCGCCGTACACCGTCTCCGGCAACGCCACCTTGGCCAGCGCCTGCCTCACGGCCTCCTTGAGAGGCCTAGCCTCCGCCGCAGCATCCTCCTCCTCCTCCTCCTCCCTGCAGAGCACGAAGGCGTGCCGCGTCCGGCCGCCGAGGCAGCTCATGTCGGCGCTCAGCGGCCGCAGCCGGAGGCGGCGGAACGTGGCGGCGATGTCGGCGAGGAGGCCCGGCCGGTCGTCGCAGCTGACGGTGGCGCGGACGTAGGTGCGCGCGGCCGCGGTGTGCTCGCCGCCGGCGTAGCATTGGACGGTCACCTCGTTGGCCTCCGGTGGGATGGTCGCCGCCGTCGACGGCGTGGTGGCCTCGGTGGCTCTCGTCTTGAGGTGCTTCACTTGGTTCACCACGCTGGCTAGCAAGGTGGCCTTGTCCATCTGTAAACGAAATGATACAGTAGATATAGTATTAACATTTTAGTTTTTTTCCTGGAAAATAAATTTAAACCAATTATATTTTCCCTATTATCTTAAGAAAAACCAAACCATAGTTCTAAGAACCACGACATGTTGCTGATCACTTAGGGCCCCTTTGATTTGTAGGAAAAATGTAGGAATTTTGAATCCTACGGAAAAAAAATCCTATGAAGGCCTTTGAAACAAAGGATTGAATCCTATCCGATCCTTTAAAATTCCTATGGAATGGGTAATCCTATGCACATTTTGGAGGAAAGTTAGCCAGAGGTCTAACCTCTTGGAACATTTCCTCTGAGTCTATCTCTCTCATCTGATTCCTGCGTTTTTCCTGTGGTCCAATCAAACGGCAATTCCTGTGTTTTGTAATCCTCTGTTTTACAATTGTATTCCTGTCAGAATCCTGTGTTTTTCGTATTCATCTGTTTTTTCATTACTAAGAATCAAAGGGGCCCTAGTTTTAACTTTGTGGCTACAGTGGGCTGCCTACGGCTCGGGCGCCCGACGATTTGGAGAAAAATCGGGCGCTGACGTCATGCTGACATCAGTACCCGATTTACGTACAAAACTACTTTAAACTGATTTTTCTCTTAAATTACTTATCCAAATCATGATCCAATTGCACCATTAAATTCATTGCAATTAAATCTTCAAAACAAGACCACATGGATCTATATTCTGACGAAAAAAATTTAGCTTATTATTGAATTTTTTTAAAATGTTGCACGATGTTCCAGCAGGTATATCGGAATTGTCTCACTAAGTAGATTGAAAATGTTTCACTCGTTTAAATTGGGTATTGTTTCACCTTATATAAAAACAATGTTTCAGCAAATAGCGAAAGAATGTTTCAGTTCACTGCAACATTAGATCTATACATAGTGAAACATTGTGAGTATACTAGGTGAAACATTTTTTGGTGGAACAAAAAGTAAACCAAATTCCCTTAATAGGGGTTTCCAAAATATATGTGTTTTTGTTGCAATGGAATATTTCGTTCACTGCAACATTAGATCTATACATAGTGAAACATTGTGAGTACACTAGATGAAACATTTTTTGTGGAACAAAAAATAAACCAAATTCTCTTAATAGAGAGTTTCCAAAGTATATGGGTAATTTGTTGCAATAGAGTTGTGTGTGTGGACACGTGGTGGGCTAGGGGAGGGGAGCGCGCGTGCATGGGGCGGTGGAGCGCCCAATTTCTCCTCCCCCGCCCGATCGCCCAACGGGCATCATTATCGGTCTGAAATATGCCAAGAAAATATACTTAATTAAATAAACCTTCGTTTTATACTATAAGTCAATTTTGATTTTTTTTCTAGTCAAATTTTCCTTAATTTAATTAAATTTATAGAAAAATTTAACAGCATCTACAATACCAAATTAGTTTTATTAAAACTAACATTTAATTTATTTTGATAATATATTTGTTTTGTGTCATATTGCTATACTCTTTTTCTATAAGCATGACCGAACTTTAAAAAGATTACTAGTGAAAAAAATCAACATAAAAGGGAGGGAGTATGAACGACAGTTATAATGGTTTCAGAGACTGAACTCATCATTCTTTTTTAGAAGTTTTGTTCCCTAGGTGTACAAATTGCATTAATTTGTTAATCCAACTATTCTGCACCTACAGCAAGTCTGATTGAAAGAATAAGCCAAACAACATATTTGTAAATAAAAAATAATTTGTGAATGAACTTTTATATACGTGTTCTTATCGACCTAAAAGTAAAAGCTGAAAAAAAAACTTCAATGAAAAAACTCCAAAATCAACTCTAAATTTAAGATTGAAAATTTAAATTTTGGCTGATAAGTATAAGTATAAACGAAAAGATGGAACGTTTAAAATAATTTATAACTATTTGGATGAGATAAAAAAAAGAGTAGAGGTCCCTTTAAGAGCCAAAAATGACTTTCTCATGTCATTAGGCTATCTGCTCAGAACTCTGAAACAACATGATTAGGAGAGGGTTTTTTCAGACCTGCTTAGCATCAGGGAGTATCCTCCTCAGTGTAGCCAGGTGAGCATTAATCCTCTCCCGCCGCCGCCTCTCAGCCTCGCTGTGGATCGTCATCGCCGTCGCCTGAGCCGCCGCGCTCCTCCCCGACGACGATGACGGCCGCGGCGGCGGCGGCTCCGGCGCCAGGCCGCCCTGCCGCCGTGGCAGCACAACCGTGCCTCTGTACACTGAAGAAAGATCATCATAGCCACCGTGGTGCAGATGCTGCTGCTGCTTCCCTTCTTGCCAAATCTGCTGCTGGCATGCAGCCATCTATCCAAAATCCTCAACTATATGAATTAATGACGATTAACTCAATAATGCTGCAAGAAGAATCAGTAGACTGTTAATTCGACCTTCAAGAACAAGAAAATGATGAAGTAATTAGCACTGTAATTAAACATATATAGATACCTATATGAGGTTCGATTATTTCTGTCGGTGCAAGAATAGCAATGAAGAGTGAAGTGAAGTGAGGGCTGAAGAGAAGCTAATAAGAGGGGGTACTTAAACTGCTGCAAAAGGAAGAAGAACAGAAGCCTGCAGGCCCTCACCACATTAATTTGTTAATTGTAGGATAGATGGATATGCTCGTCAGACCAGGATGATCAGATCATATCTCACCTCATGATAAATCTATGTATAGATGATCTATCAATATATATGTGCATGTGTTTCAATTCATTATTGGCCAACCAACCACAAACACACAATGACATGTACACCTAGGTGCATTCTTTTTCCACATTTGATCCCCACTAGGTGATGCTCCTTTGGACTATTCAGGGATAGCTCACATCATATCATATACTACTAAATTTCAATTAGTCACTACCTAGGGACTATCATGAGTTTGGAGGAGGATTAACTACTACTTAATTAGTCTGAGATAACTGAATTTTGTAAGCTTGGCAAATGCAAGCCTGCTGTCCAACTGAGACTTCTTTCTTGGCATCATTGCCTGAAAAGCAGGGGTCTTTCTGCATCTGAATGATTTAATTAAGAACACACGCACGTACGGGTGTGACTGATGAGTAGGATTACATGGTGATTAAGGCACGCAATTAGATCAATTGGCTAGTTATACTAATCAAATCAGTGACAAACAAATGGCTAGCTTAGCTAGGTTAGGACAGTTGAACAGTTAGATCCAAATCCAACAGTTACAGCCAGCCGCCATTTGGTTTCACACTAGGATCGCTTTGCGGCTTCACACAGGAACTCTCTTGGATGCTTCCTTCGCCACAGGTTCCAACGTGTGATTTTGCGCACGTGGTTAATTCATTAATCCTTCTGTTTTCATTCTCGGCTGGATTTTTTTAATATAATAATAATATGATGAATAGTCATTGGTAAGTAGGACCCACTTGTCGGTCCCTTTTGTTCTTGCTTTCGGTTTGCCACGTGAAAAAGCAGGGCATCGGCTTCGAGGCATTTATTTATTTCTCTTGTTTATTTAAAAAAAATGCTTGATACATCTTAAAGCGGATGGTTAATGTACATGGGACAAATTTTGCAATATATATAGTATAGCAAGAGGCATGTCTGAAAGTTGCATAAATATATAGAATCGGAATTAACATGAGGAGAAATTACTCTCTCTGGTTTTAATAGATGATGTCACTGTTTTTTTTCATGAGCACCACATAATATTCACTATTTGTCTTATTTTAAAATTTCTGTGTAAATATGTAAATTTGTGTTTAAAATACCTTTAGTGATAACCTAAGTAACAACAAAACAAATATTAATTATGCAATCTTTTTAATAAGACGAATGGTTAAATGTATATCGAAATTAATGGTGTCATCTATTAAAAACCGGATGGACTACTTCATTTGGCGAGAAGGTCAATGCAGATTTTCACCACCTAATATACACAGCTTGGGATTTACAGACATATCGTATAAAGTTTAGAGCGATGCTTTGTTTATCTCTACTGATAGTATTATATTACCAATAGAAATAATTTGAACCATTCGTTATTAAAGGTAAATCAGTAATTTACTAATACAGTGATTAGGTTAACTTTATCATTTATGTTTTTTTTCAGGGCTAGATAGATATGTGGTCATTTATTGCATTGGTATCGCTCCTATTCCATCGAAAAAATCAAAAAAGAAGGGAAAATGTTTAGTAATTGATAAATGATGATTAGACCCTTTCGCAACTTTTTTCTCTTTTTGCTATAATACCCCTCCATGTTTTTACTATGACTAACTAAGGTGGTAGTATAAATAGATTTAAACCCTTCAATCAAATGAAATTAACGATTAAGATTACTTTCTACTGTAGTAGAGACCCTGTAACAGGGCTTTAAAGTTAATGCTGATTTCAGTCCCTCTTTTATCGTAAAGGAGATATAACCTCAGGCAATAATCTGGACACAAAGAGGCAGTAAAGGCAAGATCAACAAGAGCAATCGAATATCGAATTGTTCCTTTTGACTCAAGCACAGGAGAGGAGAGGAGAGGAGAGGAGAGGAGAGATCGACACATGCATGTGATGGATTGGATATATATACATGTGAAATCGTGTTCAACAGGGGCAGAATCATGCCTTGGACTGATATATGGCTGTGTTTAGTTCACACAAAAATTAGAAGTTTGATTGAAATTGAAATGATGTGACGGAAAAGTTAAAAGTTTTTATGTGTAGGAAAATTTTTATGTGTAGGAAAGTTTTTATGTGTAGAAAAGTTTTGTTGTGATGGAAAAGTTAGAAGTTTGAAGAATAACTTTGGAACTAAACACGGCGATAGTGACATTCTGCCCTCTCGCCATTTCCAGCTTTCCTGCATCGAAACTTGGCAGGTGAAGAATTTCACCCGCACTAACAGACACTCGTCCACAATAACAAGGAAGAACAAACAGTATTTTTTTTCTGCGACATTAGGACATGAACACTATAGTGTGTCATTAGAGAAGATGTCATATAAGATTTTATTTTTGTGTAATATGAAAGTAGGAGAAAGAAGAAAGAAAATTATGTAGTTTGTGATCTAAATGGCTTCAAGTTACTCCATCCATTTCACAATGTAAGTCATTTTAGTATTTTCCACATTCATAATGATGTGTCTAGATTCATTAACATCAATATGAATATGAGAAATGCTAGAATGACTTACATTGTGAAACGGATGAAGTATTAATTATACAAATTAATCAGAAAACATATATATGTCTATATATCCTATGTAGTTGGCACCAGAAGCATGATATGCATTGAGCTACATCATCTTAAAAAATAGTAGTCTTTGGATCCCTATCATGCTTTGATCTCAACTATGCATCCATTTGTCATATGCATTTACAACGTATAGGTGTAGTTATTGCTATAAATCTCAATGTGCATTGAACCCTAACACCTAAAATACTAATATTCATTGGATCTCCTCATGTGTTATACATAACTACTATTGAACAAATATTATCCATTTAGATATTATGAGTAAATGATTTTTTTTAGATTGTTTTTTATGAGCTTTCTCTATCCATTTAGATATTACGAGTACATGATTTATAGACGAGTACATGATTTATAGATTGTGTTTTATGAGTTTTCTTGAAAGTATTTTTAAAATTTTTCGCTGCAACACGCAGGGTATCCACTAGTTTATTTGATGAGGTGCCAATACATTTGAGTAGTACCTGTTATGTTTTTTTTTCAAAGAGGAGTACACCTACCTGTTATCGGTATGAAGTGGAAAAAATATATAACTGATCTTTAATGTCTCAGATATAGAACAATGTACTTTTAGTGAACTCGCCAATCCATGCCCCCGTTTGTCTTTATCACCCTTTTTCCTCTCTGCGATCCAACATGCCAGTGGATATGAATAATCAGCTACGAAGTAACTCCTTTCCGTCTTCTACCCTATAGTTCAACAAATGGTTTTACTCATTCATCATTTATCATATCACACATCCAACAATCCAAATTCACAGGATGAGTTACATCCAACGGCTCCACACCTCCTCTCTGATTCACCCGCACCTCCCTCTCCCCTCCGCACACACCCCTCCGCCTCGCTCCCTCCTCAGATCGTGCATGCCCTCCTTCTCCCTCGGATAACACGCCTCCTCTCTCGGTCGCTCCCCATCAACCGCCGCCACATCCACGATCCACGCCGTCGCCAACGCCGCCGCATCCCCGCAAATCGCGCCAATCCACACATGCCATTTGCTATGCTGGTCGGGATCTCCACCGTCGTCACCACGCACAGCCACCTGAGCCGCCCCCCTCCGAAATCGCCATACCCTGCTCGTGAGTCGCAAGGTCCGCGCCGCCAAAACTTTGTCGCGTCAACCCTCCGTCCGCCATCCCCGTTGCTGTCGGCTGCCTCCTACTCGCCTGCATCATACACTTAAGGTTTCTGCCTCCCGATTCCATCCCCGATCTCCCAAATCCCTAACCCTAACTCTTTGACTCACCCGTTATTTGATTTTTTTTTTCTTTGTTATTTGTGTGTGTGTGCAGGACAGCGGGAGAGGGTCACAATGGTAGAGAGCACCTTGCAGATTGGATGGATCGTTGGTAATGCCTCGTCCAATAATTAGTACATCTTTATTCACTGCAAAATCCAAATTTAAATCCCGGTTCCTCCCCTCCCAAACGCGAATGCACCAAAATCCCCATCACTTTATAGGTTTAGAAGTTATACTATCACGAGCAGGCATTTTAACGATAGTGTACACTTTCTACAGTTGGCCTTCAGCGATGCATCGAAAGCACTACTACTATATGTAAAATGAATACTTTTTAAATAATGACACCTGAACATGTAAAATGTCCTGCATTGGTAATGTGCCTAAACTGATTTTTTTTTACTACTATACATTGTTATATTACACTATTGAGAACATGGTTCTATAGGTGCTAATATTGTCGGCAGAATCAGTTTCAAACGTAGGGATTTTTCTTTTTACCTTGGAGGATTTGAGAAATTCAGGCACCAATATCTTTTTCAAGCGCTTATTCCCTTGGACTGAATTTCTTGATTAAACTTCCTGATTCTGTTTAACAGGGATTCTCACACTGTCATCTCTTGATTTCCCTTTATCGTAGACGTTCTCCCAAAAAATACAATCACAAAGGTAGACATCTCATTCAATTCAGAGAAATATATTTTTGTATATGTGTGTCGAAACATGAATTCGGCAATAATAAAACGGGGTAGCGCACGAGACCTAAAAGTGGATGGATGTGGAGACAAATGATTTAGACAGGTTCAGGCCCTCTCAATGAGAGGTAATACCCTACTCCTGTTTGGGGATTTGAATCCGCCGAGTGTGTATTGATCTGACGATCAGGTTGTCTCATGCCCCTAGAGGGGCTCCCTGCCCCCCTTATATAGGTTGGGGGGCAGGGTTACAAGATAGAAACCTTAACCAATACGGTATCGGTTTCCTAAATCTACTTTACAATCTTATCAAACCAGGACTTTAGGCCGTTCCATAATATACAGGGAAACGTAATACCCAAGTCATGATCTGTTACATATTCCATACATATATGTTATCCCCTATTACTAGTCGGATAACCATGCCGTGTGGGTATGGGGTACCCATAATCTCCACAGTAGCCCCTGAGACCTTCACAGTCGAAAATATAATCTTCTCTCGAACTAGATTACTCTAAAGCCGAGTGCTTCAATCATCTTCGCCATGGTCTCCCGAGTACTTTTACCAAATTTGAAGACTG